AGTGGAATAATGGAATACAAGTAACTATAAATTCTATCAGCTAAGACATTAACTCCAAATGCAGCTATTGTCTCTAAAGAAAAGTAATACACTATTGTCATAAGAATGAACATCCCTCTTGTAACTCGATGGTTATAAACACGATGATATTTAACGTTAAAACATTAACAAAATATTACTATAACTTTAGAACATGGCGTATTCAACGGAATAAAATTCTATAAAATGTTTAGTCTCAAATAATCAATGTGTCCAACTGACAAGTGTTTATAACACTGACAAATGACTGGTCGTTAGTAGGTTGTTGAACTCCATCAAAGTATGACATATCACGTGTAAATGGATATGTAATTTCCCACATGTGCCAGATGGCAAAGACTAAGAGGTGAAGGTAGCTATTATATGATGAGCAGGGTGTTGCCTACGATATGGATTATGTCAGAGATAACGCGAAAGCTGCTCCACAGTGTTGGAACACCATAAATCACCTGTCATAGTAGGAAGAAACGTTTTACTTTGAAACGCGTTTAACCAACTGACATATTCTTTCCAGAATCAAAAGGTAAGTAGTTAGAAGGGAATTCCTGTTGAGTATGAAAATTGGTCAGATGATAATAGATTTCAAGATGATAACGTCAGGTCTCGAGGACAAAAACTATGGCGCTGGGAAATAAAACGTAAATGAACTTGAAATCCTTTGTCCTTCACGGGTGTCATCAAACACTTTACTATGAAGTAAAAACTGTGATGTTTAAAAACATAATTTAAGAGAGGTTGTACAGTTTGGAAAAGTTACATGGCGGGCGAATTGAAAAATTGCGATACGAATAAAATACTAGGTGGGTATAGTTTTAGATTAGGTTTAGCTTTTTTGGACAATTGTGAATTTTCATGTCTGTGTCGAATTCATGAAGTTTCAAACGCAGTGATAAGGAATTTTAAATATGTAAATCTGACAAGCTGGACACTTCTCAATTCGACCATTGCAAGTTAAAATACTAGTTTTTATGCCACTGAGAAGAATAAGGCCTGGTTCGATCTAACGAAGCCCATTTAATCTGAATTAAACATCGCACAAGGATTTAATTCCTGGTGCTTCTTGATAAAACAAAGCGAGTTCGCATGTGAGAACGTGTTTGGTTTGGGGCTATGAAAAAATGGACAGTGTTTTTTCGTGTTCACCATAACATGTTTGAAAATCCCTGGTAGGAAATTCAATATACTGGGCCCTTATTCTCGAAACGTTCGTAGCCCTAAGAATTCTTAACTTTGATCGTACCCAATGTGTTAAGAATGAGCTTAAGAAGTTCGTAGGGCTACGAACGTTTCGAGAATAGCTAGCCTGATCTTTTGCTTCCGAAACAAATAATAAAGTAAATTCATAACAAATGAACTTGATTGATTACTTTGTAAACCGAATTAATTAATTCTTAACTACCGGGCAAAAGAAAGTTATCACCTTTAAAAAATTGTATTTAAAAAAAATATAAAAAACCTTTTGTACAGGTTTGAACCCAAGCAGAAAACATTCGCCAAAACAGTTGAACAGATTCTCTTGGACTTATGGTACAGGAGTCCTGCTGACGTCATCCGCCGGCTGATGACGTCAATGATGAGACGTGTGTTGGCGTGTATGGTTGCCCAGGGTGGTCACACTCGCTATTGATGTCCCCTGACTCCTGTCCCATTATGTGACTCTTTATGCACTTTTTGAATAAACTCTGATTTGTGTAACTTTTAATTTTGATTCCCGACTCTTTCTTAATGAATTGCGGCAAATGTAAGACCAGCACTACAATGACTTTTCAGTCAAATCTTTAGAAAATGATTTATGTTTGTAATATACTGACCAACATCTTTGGGTCCAGTTGCATATATATATGCATTACATTTGCGGCAATTCATTAAGAAATTAAGAGTCGGGTGTCAAAAGTAAAAACTACACAAATCAGAGTTCATTCAAAAGTGCATAAAGAGTCACAAACACCCCAACCCCACCCATATATATATATATATATATATATATATATATATATATATATATAGCCCCATACTAATGGTCACTAACGTTTTGGGGTTCAGTTTAAAAGAAGTGTGTTTATCACACGATAGTGACAAAAGTATCCACTCTATATATATAGATGCAACTTGACCCAAACATGGTCAGTAACCCGGGAATGTGTTCTTCAACTAGTATATGCAACCTGACCCAAACCTTTGCCCCGTTTGATTACTAACCCGTGATCATGAATGTATTCTTCAATATCAACCAACACGTGACTGTGTGCAGTCAAATTATTCTCAATATGCACAACAAGACATTTGACAAGGAGCAATACACATTTTCAACATATAAGCTCGTTTCAATTTCCTTGTAACCTTTTGACAATCGAATCATGTAACACCGTAATGAAACTAATCTATAGCATGGGCTAGCACCATGCTTATAGCTTCACATAGCAATAATCACCACTTAAAACGCATGCCAAAATTAATATTTGGGTGATCAGTCCTCAATATGAAATCCGCATTGACGTAAATAAAAGGAAACTAATTATAACAATTTGTGTGACATAATATTTGAAATGAATGGTTGAAAATTGTAACGTTTTCGATTCTTTTTAAACGAATTCAGTATCATGTAATCATGGATCTCCTTCAGGGAATGTGTATTTGACATCCCCAGTAGCCTTATGTACAGTGTAGTGTGTTTTCTACGAGTATTTCACGCGCTCGAATTCATTTTGCTATAAAAAGTATTCCTATGACTCCAAGATGACATTTTATGCGTGTTCGGGGTTAATGGTTGATTTGTGTAGTTTATTAATGTGATTGTATCGAACGAAAACTGGACATGGGTAAACAGACCCCTGTGACTGTGGTTGACAAACCGTCTAAGCCGCTTACCAAGGCCAGGAACTTTCAATCCTTTGCGATTGTCATAACGTCGTCGTTTGCACGTACATGGTGGCAATTGACTGGACTAATCACATTGCTAGTGTGCTTTGGAGTAATCTCCTGTGGGGACGGAGATTACACTGAGAGGGAACGTACGTGAGCTGTACAGGGACTCGAACTTCGGTCGGTACGCATCTGTTCCCTGATATACTTCCGGCAATTTCGTCACCATTTCGTGATTGTTTAATGTAAGATTATACTGTTCTGTCTCTCATGGCGACTGTTCTTTTGCCCTTTCCTTGTAACTCGGCACATTCTGTCTTCGTTGCTCTCCCAACCGCAAATCTAACTAAGGAATTTGATTTAATTTTCTAATGGTTCAGGGGTGCGTCTTTACCTTTCAACAATAACAGGAAACTCCTACTGGATGATTGACCGATGAATTCATCGCTCACAGCTTGCACAGACATCATATATGTCACAAGTCAGCCCTCTGTTTTATCTGTCGAGGTCGGTCGACTGCGCATCATCCTTACTCGAACCTTGCTCATGAGACCACAGGGTTGGGGAACAATCTCGACGATTTACAGGCCGCTTTCATGTTGCCGACACGGGCGGAATTCCTCCTGCTGTGATTGTAACATCATACCGCTGACACAGTGGTGACTTGGCCCATAACACTTCCTCTGGGATGTGAGGAGGTTAGGTCCCATACTGCCTACAGTTCCAAACTGCCTACATCCCAAACTGCCAACAAAAATATTGTCGGCAGCGTGGGAAATGATTTTTCGTCCTGTAGAATAATGGAACAGCCCCCCAATTATCAATGAAGAAGAGGTGTGTCGTTTGGAGTAAGGTAGTAATAGTTATTTGCTTTATTTAATGTCGTACGCACAAAAAGTAGGGTATTTCAGCGATGGGGTTGTACACTTATTAAGAAATGAGGGGAACAAAAAATAATTATTTTGAAAGAGTGGTTTTACTACCCAAAAACCCCCAACAACTGAGTATTAATGGAAATTTGAATTTGATGCCGAATTAAAAAGGTAAAAAAAAATATGAAATAGGTAAAGTGTATTAGAGATTTTGAATTTAATATAGATGTGGTGTAGTAAATGGTTATTATTATTGTATTTTTTAACCAACCGATGTTTAAAAACATATTTATTAAGTGAATAATGATAAATATATATAAGGTTAAAAAATGGACTTGATAAAAAGAGAGAACTGATTTAAAAAGTTAAAAGAACATATATACATATTTATAACAATTTTTCAAATGGTAAAAAGTGGTATTATTGTTTTTGTTGCTAGATTGTTTGGTAAATTTTGTATGAATGAGATATTTAGTGAGTGGTTTGGGATTTGTTTGAATGTGCTTGAAATCAGAAGAGTACTACTGGTTTTGGTATGTACATACCCCAAAAAAGCCTTAAACAATCCTATAATCTCCCGGCAAACTCCAGTATCTTCACAGCAGACCTTGCAGCCATAGTTCAGGCCTTGCAAACAACATCTGACCAAACAAACACTACCATCTGCATTTTTACGGATTCCTTAAGCTCCTTACAGGCTTTCAAAAATTACTCTACAACAAAAAGACCATAAGATCTAATAAATAACATATACAGAAGAATACTATACCACCAAAACAAAAATAATCAAATACATTTTATCTGGGTTCCGTCACATATCGGAGTCCATGGCAACGAGATGGACATCCTTGTCAGTTGTGTGTAATTGTGAAACCAGTAAAAGATTTTTCAAGATATATTCATGTCTCCATGTAAAGACAGAGAATTCTCAGAATGAATAAACCAACACTTGTCATTTTTAAACTTCTGTAGGCACAAAGGGAAGACACCACAGAACAGGTCAGTTCCTTAACCAAGTAACTGGTCAAGTTCATTTTAGATGGGGTAGAACAGGTCAGATCGGTGTATTCCCATTAACTTCACTTCCTGATCACTGGACCATATCATGTTGTTTTAACCCGTAGGCAGTTTGGAACTGTAGGCAGTATGGGAATACACCTGTGAGTAAGGCAAGCGTCTATTGATAACCCTCACAGCAAACCACTTGTAAAAACAACAAACTACACATTTCCAATGGCCGAAATCATTTATTCGAAAATTAGGAATAATGTTTCCAGTGACTATTGCATTTCAAAACGGATGTCGAAATCCGACTTAAGATTAATGTTTTCTCTCTCCAAATTCACCTTTTCAGGATAGTTATATTCATTGGTGAAATGTTAAACGTGTAGAAATGCAATACTCAGAGCACACCCAATTTGTCTTGCAGTATATAATGAAACCTCGTTATTCGGGACGGATTCATTGTCAGGGAAATCACACGGATGGACGTACTGGTACATAGAGGTTCCAGTAATGCTCCGGGAAGCTGGATCAACTTAGTCCTGATTAACGAGGTTGAACTATATTGTTTAACCTTAGAATAACAATAAACGTTAAATCAATACTGTACATTCATATTGACAGACCCGTCTTTTTGAAAATAAATATATTTCTCTGTGCATGTCTTTGAATTAAGTATATAATAGTGATTTGATATATATCTACAGCACCATGACACAACTAGACAGGACTTCACACAACTCTACGAAAGGAAACTTACGAATGGCACATATTGAGCAATACAGAGTGTGTGACTTAGTTACAATACACACTGTTCCAGAAGCGTCTTCAGAAAACCGACAGATAACACTCTATTTACATGTTGATGCTGACTTCTGTGGATGTGCAGACAATGGCCGAACTTTTCATGTGAGTTGGATTATCTCTGAAATGTCTACTTTATGAGAATGTACTCTGTTGTGTCCGTGCAACAAGAACAATACAAGACCATCACAGGCGTGTGTCAGAAACAACAGTTGCCTTACTAAACTACCACAAGTACACCGGTGGGTGGGGAACACAAGCTGCTTTGAAAAACACGTACTATACACTACGGGGGAAAGAGGATATGGCGAAATGAATGACATAGTACATTACTAAAGCAGCTTTGGATAGATTTCGGCAGGCCATTTTCAGGAAGGCTTCCTGAGCCTTTCTTGGAAGCTATCATTATAGAAGACATTTTCTGTTCACTCGAGAGGAAATTGTATTCACTGAGAGTTGGCATTGGGTGAAAAGTAGTAAATTAAATATCGGAGACTGAAAGACGACCCGATATGGGTGTGTACATAAAGATGCGTCACAAGCACTGGCAGGAATGTATATAGGTATTTATCTACGATATACACAATAACAACCGATTGTACTACTTTATATGCTTTACCAAAAGCAGCAGCATATTGCCCTTCAAATGTATTCTTATATTCATAAACAGTCTCTATCTTTGATAAACCCAGTGCAGTATCTCCCTCTGCATATGTGAAGTGTCTCAAATTTCCTAAAAATGTTGATCTTTCTAACCCCATTGTAGATTTTCCATTGTTTTACAGAAGCTCACAGAATTATGGAGAGGGAGATAGTACAATGTATTCCCAATTATCTCCCCTTTCCCGTATGGGCAATCCCCAACCTCTCTCTAATAACCCCCATAATAATAACCGTTCACATCATTCTTGTCCCCTTCCCCAGCCATCTCCTCGTATAGCGCCTCCAACTCACGGGGCTGGAGATTATCCAAGATGGACTCCAGATATTCCCCCATTTCATCCTTGCCTTCTTCCAGAGGTTCCGAGGACCCTGGGACGGAGCTTACAGTGTCCGGCATGTCCCCAAGTGCAAGGTCACCCTCCCGGAAGTCCTCCCACGAATAGTTCGGTGGTCCAGAAGTGAAGCAGTAGTTTTCATTCATGATGTCCTTGCCTTCCACGTAGTACATGATGTAGAAGTTGCACATCTCGTCGTTCTGGGTGGCTCTGCAATCACATATAATCAGAGACTTGTTGGTTTGTATCGACTATTCCACGCCCCGTATACATACATCACCCCAGAATCCGTTATCCCTGGTTACAACAAAGTCATCGAATGAAATATACCGGTCTCGTGTCACCATTAATCACGGTTTGGTAAAAAATCCTTATGTACGAACTCTCTCAAAGTCAGACATGCTAAAGAAAAGAAACCGAACAGTTATATATATTGACGAAATGGTACGTCTTACATATACAATCTCTCTTTGCACAATGACAAATTTCATGCAAAACTCGTTTTGTTTACATTGCATACCCTCAACAATAACACAAAAACAAACAGCGTTTTCAAACTATTTTATTTGCAACGATAGACGTATTTAACAATGTCTGTAGCCCGTTTGTTGATTCAGTTAATGTTTATATGTTTATAATACAACAGGTAAACGGAAAATGTCAATATCAAATTATGACTTTTTCATAATCTGAAGTTTGATTTGAAAGAAAAATGTGTATCTTGGTGAAATTCAGCGTAATAATTGACGTCACGGTTTCCTATTTTGCATTAATAAGTATAGGTATGTAACTTAAATTAAACCATATTGTCGAAGTCGATGGAAACATTATTCCTGTGTCAAGTACGACCTTGCACCTTAAGGGTATACGGACAAGGTCAGGTCAAGGTAGTATTCACTGAGATCTTTAGTTATAACGCCATCGGTTACGAGCTGTTCGTAGTAGGAGCCCCACACCATCCGATCTGGGTGTACTAATCTGGTGTCAGCTGTTTCATTCAATGCAGCTATAGTTCCTGGAACGACGCTGACATTCTTGGGCATGGCATCAAGGTTCATGTCACCATCCTGGAAGTCGGCCCAAGACCAGACAGGGGGTCCGCGGCTGGCGCATGCGCTGTTTCGGACCTGTTTAGTGCCGTCGACGGAGTACATGATGTAGAAGTTACACATCTCATTATACTGTGTGCCCCTGGAACATACAACAATGTGGGAACATTTATGTTATAGGGTGGTTGTCGAAGTAACATCTCGGATGTACGTGCAGATCTTATAGAATATGCTGCCATTAAAATAATATATTGGTACTGGTAGTTTGTGATTACATCAACATGTTTGTCAGGAAGCTGAGGATATGTTTTGTCTTCAAACTTAAATAATGTAATCAATAGAAAATCTTAAATTTACATGTAGGTCTTATAGTATGTGCTGATGTCATTGAAAATAGATAATATATTTGTGTTTCCACTTGAAGTTTGAGATTACATCATTGTTTGTCAGAAAGCTAAAGATGGATTTTGTTTTCACACTTAAAGAAGCAACTAAACGAAAAGTTAAACACAAAATGCTTAATAACTGCAAATAGTACAATGCAGCAACTACTACTACCACTACCACCACCACTACTACTACTACTACTACTACTACTACTTCTACTTTCCACTTCCAACTTTTGTTTTATTAAGTTACTGAGTTAGACTTGAGCCGAAAAACAACACACGCAGCACAACAGGGAGCTAGTTGCAGTTAGACAGGACAACAAATTATATTAAGCAAACAATAAACTAAACGCATACACCACAAAATAAAGAAAGCAAGAAACATGTATTGTACAAGAGGATTTGACCACATGGATAGGAAACAGACAATGTGAAAATACGAAGCGTAAAAGAAGAAGAGAATGGATGAGCTGACAAGCATCTCGATCCCAGACGTGACACACAGACACAGCACATTGACACAAGACGTGAACCAGCAGTGAGGATTTACCCTTTCAAAGTTCATCTTCTAATAAACCCATCCGAAAAAGGGTTTAGAGTCGCCATAACAAACTCCGCGTCAACAGCCGCCGTGAACATCGAGGTCGACGAACTATACACATCCTTTACTGATAATACAGATCGGGAACATACATCAAACATGATTGAACCTAAAGGTGAAATAGCTGGAATTTTCTTCGGTATGAAGTTCATTCTGTATTATATTTGCGTTTTTAGTTCCACGACAGTGGCGCGGTCCAGTTGTATATTCAGAGTGGTTATGTTTCATCTGTGAGCAACTTACCCTATATTGACTGTGGTGTCCTTGTCGTTGACCATTGTACATCTGGCAGCCTGAAGACAGAGGACACGATTACATTGTTATTGATAGGACATGATACTGACATACACTTGTTATACCAATGATCTCCTTGATTAGCCAGTGATATTCAGCTTAAACAGATAGTAAAGATTTAAACGTCTTTCCATAACTGTAGTATAAGTTAAAGGACATATTCTACAAAGCAACAAACCATGGCCCCGTACCACAACTCCGCCTCAGCGCTGTGACAGTTTGTTCAAGTATGGAAGTCACGATCGCCCCAGCGCTGTGACAGTTAGTTTGTTCAAGTATGGAAGTTACGATCGCCCCAGCGCTGTGACAGTTAGTTTGTTCAAGTATGGAAGTTACGATCGCTTCAGCGCTGTGGCAGTTTGTTCAAGTATGGAAGTTACGATCGCCTCATGGAAGTTAGTATGATCGCCTCAGCGCTGTAACAGTTTCTTGTTCAAGTATGGAAGTTACGATCGCCTCAGCGCTGTGACAGTTTGTTCAAGTATGGAAGTTACGATCGCTTCAGCGCTGTGACAGTTTGTTCAAGCATGGAAGTTACGATCGCCCCAGCGCTGTGACAGTTAGTTTGTTCAAGTATGGAAGTTACGATCGCCTCAGCGCTGTGACAGTTAGTTCAAGTATGGAAGTTACGATCGCCCCAGCGCTGTGACAGTTTGTTCAAGCATGGAAGTTACGATCGCCCCAGCCCTGTGACAGTTAGTTTGTTCAAGTATGGAAGTTACGATCGCTTCAGCGCTGTGACAGTTAGTTTGTTCAAGTATGGAAGTTACGATCGCTTCAGCGCTGTGACAGTTTGTTCAAGTATGGAAGTTACGATGGACAGTTTGTTCAAGCATGGATCGCGCCCAGCGCTGTGACAGTTAGTTTGTTCAAGTATGGAAGTTACGATCGCCTCAGCGCTGTGACAGTTAGTTCAAGTATGGAAGTTACGATCGCTTCAGCGCTGTGGCAGTTTGTTCAAGTATGGAAGTTACGATCGCCCCAGCGCTGTGACAGTTTGTTCAAGTATGGAAGTTACGATCGCTTCAGCGCTGTGACAGTTAGTTTGTTCAAGTATGGAAGTTACGATCGCCTCAGCGCTGTGACAGTTTGTTCAAGCATGGAAGTTACGATCGCCCCAGCGCTGTGACAGTTTGTTCAAGCATGGAAGTTACGATCGCCCCAGCGCTGTGATGGGTTAGTTTGTTGAAGTATGGGAGTTATGATCGCTTCAGCGCTGTGGCAGTTAATTTGTTCAAGTATGGAAGTTACGATCGCTTCAGCCCTGTGACAGTTAGTTTGTTCAAGTATGGAAGTTACGATCGCTTCAGCCCTGTGACAGTTAGTTTGTTCAAGTATGGAATTTACGATCGCCTCAGCGCTGTGACAGTTAGTTCAAGTATGGAAGTTACGATCGCCCCAGCGCTGTGACAGTTTGTTCAAGCATGGAAGTTACGATCGCCCCAGCCCTGTGACAGTTAGTTTGTTCAAGTATGGAAGTTACGATCGCCTCAGCGCTGTGACAGTTAGTTCAAGTATGGAAGTTACGATCGCCCCAGCGCTGTGACAGTTTGTTCAAGTATGGAAGTTACGATCGCTTCAGCGCTGTGACAGTTAGTTCAAGTATGGAATTTACCATCGCCTCAGCGCTGTGACAGTTAGTTCAAGTATGGAAGTTACGATCGCCCCAGGGCTGTGACAGTTTGTTCAAGTATGGGAGTTACGATCGCCCCAGCGCTTTAACAGTTATCAAGTATGGAAGTTACGATCGCCTCAGCGCTGTGACAGTTTGTTCAAGTATGGAAGTCACGATCGCCCCAGCGCTGTGACAGTTAGTTTGTTCAAGTATGGAAGTTACGATCGCCCCAGCGCTGTGACAGTTAGTTTGTTCAAGTATGGGAGTTACGGTAGCCTCAGCGCTGTGACAGTTTGTTCAAGCATTGGAGTTACGATCGCCTCAGCGCTGTGACAGTTTGTTCAAGCATGGGAGTTATGATCACTTCAGCGCTGTGGCAGTTAATTTGTTCAAGAATGGAAGTTACGATCGCCTCAGCGCTGTGACAGTTAGTTTGTTCAAGTATGGGAGTTACGATCGCCCCAGCGCTGTGATGGGTTAGTTTGTTCAAGTATGGGAGTTACGATCGCTTCAGCGCTGTGACAGTTAATTTGTTCAAGTATGGAAGCTACGATCGCCCCAGCGCTGTGACAGTTAGTTTGTTGAAGTATGGAAGTTACGATCGCTTCAGCGCTGTGGCAGTTAATTTGTTCAAGGATGGAAGTTACGATCGCCCCAGCGCTGTGACAGTTAGTTTGTTCAAGTATGGAAGTTACGATCGCTTCAGCGCTGTGACAGTTAGTTTGTTCAAGTATGGAAGTTACGATCGCCTCAGCGCTGTGACAGTTGGTTTGTTCAAGTATGGAAGTTACGATCGCTTCAGCGCTGTGACAGTTTGTTCAAGTATGGAAGTTACGATCGCCCCAGCGCTGTAACAGTTTATTCAAGTATGGAAGGTACGATCGCCTCAGCGCTGTGACAGTTAGTTCAAGTATGGAAGTTACGATCGCCCCAGAGCTGTGACAGTTTCTTCAAGTATGGAAGTTACGATCGCCACAGCGCTGCAATCGCTGTGTTGAATGGGGCCTTGGTGTAACACATCTACTACTACCATATTTCTCGTGGATTAGAGACGTCGTGATCACCATCTAATACACCTCCGTCTGAACTGAACGTTGTTTCCCACAAACACACATACACGTACGCGCACGTACGTGCGCACACACAACTTACGAGAATATCGCCTGGTTCGACGGTCATGTTGGGGGTGGTTGCATCGTAAAACATCTGGAAAATATATAATTATAAAAGTTTATGATTTATCACAGAAAGTCCAAGCGCAACACACATGACGTTTGTCTCGTCTAGATAGAAACTTAACACATATGTGAAAACAACATTTAAGTTACACAAGAAAGGAAAATCAACCCATACTTGATTCATAATAACCCAGTACTGGGCTGGCCAATGTTTTAACAGCATCCCATTGATCCCTTGCAATAAACTGGTCCTGTATTCGCTGACTGTATGAAATAACATTGTTGGGATAAAGTTTAAAAACAAAATAATTATTAACAGAGGTATTTGAAACTGAAACCTGTGGTTTTTGGGGACTCATCCGGCCAATTTCAGTCCACTTGCCGTCGCGGATTCGGTAACCGGACACAACCCGTCCTGGAACACGTGTTTTAGAAATAGAAATTAGTGGGACCTTCACTAAACCAAATCCATTATACACAATGAATAATTCAATTCAATACAGACTTTAAACGAATAAGGCGATATGCCGGAACACATCCATACATGAAGATCAGTGTGTTTGCACCTCGAGGGTGGGCGTGCGTGTGTAAAAGCAGCATTCATTAAACATTCCCTAGGGAAATAAACCTGGGGGTTGAATTCTCTGTGAAATATACATACTGAAATGAAATTCAAAATGAAGATTACTTGGATTAAACCGTGAATTCTTTAATCACGTGCTGTTACGTCGGTAATTGAAGGACAACATTACAGAATCGTACATTAAAATGGATATCCGTTATGAACTGAAGGGTCCAAGGGATGTACTGAAATAATGTGGTTTGTCCTACCCAGCCCGTGAGTGTGCGTCCTGAAGGCGAAGGGGTGGATCGTCAGGTCGTCCCTGAACTTGCAGGCAGTCTCCATGTACACTGTAACACGGAAACAGGGATGTCCAGCGTGAAGTTTCAAAGTCGTGTAGACGACTGATCAAGTACAGACTACCAATACGTCACAGTGTTTACACAGTGTGGTGTTCCAACTGTCGTCTTATCAAGCCCAACATTATCCATCATGTTTACATGAACATTCAAATGTTACAGTCAGTTTGGTATCATTGCAATATTCATGTAGTTTAGGTACCTGCAGAGAACCTGACCCAAGCTTTTGTGATTATTGTAACATACGCAATGGCTCTAATCCGCTGAATGCTGTTTGCCATTCTGCTTGAATGTTCCCGAAGATCTTTGACGTAACAGTATTCTCCAGTCACTAGCATTCAAATACTGTTTCTGCATTTTCTCAATTAAGCTGAGAGACTGGCTGTCTAAATAGTGCGTGTGCGTCATGAGTACTGCACCAAGTAGTTGAAATAGTTGGATACCAGAACGGTTAAGGTTTGTTTTTCTTAGAGAAACATGGCCGGTGTGTTAAAGGAATCATTCACTACTTGATCCATGGACAATTGTTTCAAACCGTGGTGACCACAGATCTATCACATCTCTATCTTCAGAGGTTCCCAGCAGTTTGTGACAATTGAAAGGAAATGTCATTTGGCAAATTTTGGACTTTCTTACTAATAACATGAACGTTAACTATGGAGATAAGACATTGTGGTAAGAAATGTATCCACACATATCAATGATCTGATATTCAATAATGACCAATTCCTTCCACAGATTTACGCACCTGAACTAGAAATAAAGGAGCTGATGAAAGCAAAGTTTCTATCTGGTCCATGTGTAGATGTATGCATAATGATTCAAATCACAAGACAGAGTGAAACGAGTATTACATCAACGTTTATTTAGTCAAGTTTGCATTATGCCGAGAAATATTCCAGCATGTCAAACAAAAGGTGTCACCTTTTTACAAGTTGCTAGATATACTCGATCAGACGTATTTCCACACAGATTTCAATGTGCGTCACACGAGACTTGGACACAACGTGTTTGATCGTTAAACTTTCAAAACGTCTTATGTAGCGTTCGATGTAAGTAGGGTATTTCTAAATTTGATGATTCCCTAGTTTGATTCATACAATATATTCCTGTTTTCACATGACTTGTCTTGGCATGTTTGTGTGACGAGTGACACATAGACGCCCATCTCATCATCATCACTGTTTTTGTACCAGTTTATAAACAAATCCTTATGATATAATCGGAAACGTACAACGGATTCATTCCTTGGATTGTGGAAATGTCTTTGCGGAATGTTATCACAGCATCAAAGTTAAAAAACCGTTTCCTGTCCCCAGAGCAAGCATAGTTGTGTATGCATCAATCGTCATCTCCAGGTATAGAGAAACCCCTGCATTATAAAACATGTGAGGCCAGTAGCAAACTACCGTTAGTGACTGACACGGTGGAAACCTGTGGTGAAAGAATACAGTGTACGCACTCTTAAGTCGTCGTATGAAAAGAAGAAAGTGAGTGTGCCGTGACCACTTGTATCTTACCGGTAGACTTGGGCTTGATCTTGCCCCCAGTGCCCATCAGATAGACACCAGCACGACGCGGCAACCTGCAGTACAGAACGTACGTCGAGTCTGACCTTAGAGGAATCTCACATTGATGTGGCTATTGTTTAATGCCGCACTGAGCAATATTCCAGCTATATGACAGCGATCTTTAAAAATACCGGAGTCTGGAGAAGACAGTCAACTGATTAACATAATGAGTATGTACGTATCCGGGGTACGATGACATGCAGTAAACCAAGCCAGAGAGCCTGACCATCCGTTCCCGTTAGTCATCTCTATATTGACAAGTATGGGCTGCTTGATGACATATTTGTAAAGCGGATCTTCTTGGGTGAACTGATGTTGGTGATAGATAGATATATAGATAGATAGATAGATAGATATATATAGATAGATAGATAGATAGATAGATAGATATACGTACTTGGTTTTCTGCGTTATGAGGTTCAAACCAGATGCGTCCTTGTTGTTCTCTGAAACATTCCAGGTGAGCAAGATGACGTATCGACTACCAGATCTACGGGATTCTGGCCATTTACTATAATATAGTGAGTATATCAATGTACATTAACGTTTGATATAGTACTGAATGACAGATATGTCTACGTACGTGGGGGGAGAAAGGTGGTGACATTCTTGTAATGGACTTGCAGCACTAGGTACTTGATGTCCGTCTTGCCTCCAACAGCGAACGCCACATCTGGACAAAAAGAAACATATCAACGTATGAACATGCTGAACAAAATTCAATTAATAGGTCATCACCAGCGTGTTACACATATGGGTTCATCTAGTCTCGTCACCACTACTCTCTGACAGAACACAGGTGGTGGTTAGGTGAACTGCAAAAAAAGCCTCACTATACAATGGATTACAACACAAGACTGTGTGAGTCATCAACGTAGGCTTCCAGCGTTTTATAACTTTACATGAGAGCTTTTGATACGGTCTTTGTTTCCAATAAACCTTTGCACTGGGGAATTAGTTAAGCTTGACCTGTTGCGGGAAGTGCATACTGTAAATGTTTCGCATGCACACAATCAATTCTGAATGTTCATATGATTCCAGGCATTTTGAAATATGCTGAGCCAGGGCGAGTATCAGAAACATGAGCATTATTATGCTAACATTTGTATAGCGCCAATATCCAGCTCAGCTGCTGAAAGACGCTTTGATTTTCCCTCGATCATTGGATGTCAACTCAAACGGCACATCATATTATCAGTCTCAACTCCCTGGGCAGTATACAACTCTTGCAGCCACTAGGTGCACCGAGTTAATGTGGCTTTCCCATCCTTACGAGGTACCCATTCACAGCTGGGTGGACTGGGACACATAGAGTACTTCGTCCAAGTTTTACTGCACGTTGCTGTACCAGCAACTAGGTGTTTGCACGTATTCATGTAGCCACCATCTGGTCATTTACAAACGGATTCGTGGGTTCTTTTAACTGCAGAGGGTTGTGTACTGTACAGTTGGGGTTGTGACAACACTGAAAGAGTCTACACACAGAGTTGACTCCAAGGTTCTTTACACCCGGTAACAGGTGGGCTCGATTCCGGCATCTTAAGCTCGCTGGAACACTAGCCTGGGGCCTTAGTAAGCTCGCCCACCATGCCCCCATGAGTAAGCAGCTAAGATAGCATACACACATTCTCGATTGGAAATATAACAGATATTGTACAGTATCATGCAGGCCCCGTGGCTGTACACTGTTTGCAACAAACACTTCAATAGTTCGCGACCACGCTCGTCATATACCATCTGGGAGAAATTCAAAATATGTTGGCTAGTTCAGTTTTCATCACTTTGTGGTGAAGCTGCTTTTACGCCAATGTGTTTACATTTGGTAGTCTGGAGGAGAGGAATGATCCATCAGCCAAAAGGCAATTGAGTCGTACACCATTTAAATAGTTAATGCCAGCTGGTCGCATCTTTCAGATAGCGGGGTGTATAATGTAAACAGTTGTGAACTTTAGTAATAAACCACCATCGGCAACCAAACGTATCCTTCAGAATGCTTGAAAATACTACAACGATAGGGAAGGATATGACCTTGTGAACAAGCATATAGTGTCATGTCACAAGTGTTCTCTTACCACTGTGGGCAACTGGACACGCCACTGTGGACACCCATGGCTGTAATGTCATGCGGCCAACACTTTTCTCCGAAAGTAGTATTGCAAGTCATGGCAGTCCAGGTTTTGTATATATTTCCACTTACACATGGAAAAGCCTTGCAGCGAATATTTGTCATTTATCAATCGTGGTTAAGAGTTTCAATCACGGTAAAATCTAAGCCATATGCGTCTGTTATTGATTGAAATGAATGAAATGAAGACAGAAATTCACTTGCCGTTTATCATTGCTCTCATATTTCAGGATATCGCATCGATGTTTTATGCGTCAGGTCAGCTCGCTACCGGTTATACAATGGTATTAAAGCAAAATGCAGAATTCACAACATAATGTTGAGAAGATACTATAACTGTTTTATAGCAATAGCATGAAACTATCGTAGTGCAGTACTTCAGCCATTGTTTTCGGACACGAAACAACAACAGCAACAAGAACGATAATAATATCATTCTGTGTGCGTTCTCTTCTCCCGCTGGAGTATACATGCCATCTCGTTCTGTCGTGAATTTATCCTTGCATTTGCTGAAATTCATGTTACCATTCTGGCTTGAATCCAAAGTCTACATGTTTGTATGACTAAAAGCAACACTTCTGTCGTCGTCTAGGGCCAAGCGTGTAGGCAGTGTTCTCCATTACACGGTGTATTTCACAGCATATGACTATGCGACTTGGTATTCCGCGTTGGACAAGGCAAGCACCATTACTGCTCTCTTGAGTGACAGGAATCAATACTCACACATCTAAGTAGGTGAGGGTCATGGTGTGGCGTTGGATTCTGAGAGATCAACAAACATACCTCAGAAATAATGGGAAGCACTTGAAAATCATTTGGTAGTCAGATTTTACCTAATGTAGATATGTTTTACACTGACTCACACAGATTCTTGGCAGAGGGGAGGTTAGAGGAGGGAAGTTTGTCCTACATGAGAGATTGTTTAATGAACAAAGTTTGACGTTTAACCACATAATGTTTTGTGATAAAAGCGTTGTTTAATATGACTGAATTAACTTTGGCGGTTGACGAATGTCCCTGGATGTGTGTTGGAGTGACTTTATCAGATTTCCTTATTAGTAAAGTCTGTCTTAATTTGCGGTCATTTACGCAGAGCAGTACATGAAAATGTACACCCCTGTATGCTGGCGGAGATGACATATGGTGGTACACACTGTTTCTATTTACTGGTCAACGCCGGGACTCCAGGACACCCGTACAACTGGATGTGAAAGAAATCCGGGGAGTTGATATATCTCATCGTTGATGTTTCACACTTATCTGGAGAAATAATATCACTGTGAGTTCTATATTAAACATAACACAAACACTGGGAAACACTGTCGGAACTGTAAATGACGTCAACACACTTCGACCTGCAGCTAAGTAAATACAAACCGAATCCTGTGTCGATTAGGGTTAACTCATAGAAAGAGGAAAGTGGAGTCAGATACCCAAGCAGTGGTACAAAAGCTCATACGGTATGGTCGTGTGATTGAAGATACATCGATTGGTTGAAAGTGATAGTTCACCATCTGCGATGAAGCCTGGAGTAACAGCGAGTGATTAAGTACTCCTAGATGTGATCGAGAGGGAAAAGATTCGTCTAAGACGCTGTCGCCGCCTAGAATAAGATGTTGTATACAAGCTATCCAAGCCCCAATAAAGCTTTTGGAAAAACGAGATACATGTGGTCTCACCTTAGGCAAGTAAGTTTATTCAAAATTGCCTCGTTCACCCAAGCAGAAAATGGGTACCCGGCGGGATAAGGCATGTGGCTATTAACCTTCTACCGCTTCACAGGCAGCTTGGGTTATCCGGTGTAATAATAATCAGATTGTGACTGTGCGCTTTGAGCATGCTTAGGGGCATCTACGATAATGACAACAACTAAATAATAAAAGAGAAGGTATCTCAATACCCGCAAACCATTTTTATCCTTGTAAAACGTACCCTACATTAGCCAAGAGGGAAAAGGAAAACGCCTTGATTACCTCCAAATGTCCATCTCTCTGGTATACTGTGTACATCATAGGTGATCTTTCTTATAATAAAACACCTGAGATTCAAAGATGCAGTAACCGTACATAAGGGTGAGAGATAAGATCCAGTAGTTTATCGGTGCTGGTTGTCCCATACACACTTATTACTAATCACATAACTCTAAAAACACATCACTGTCACTTCTATGAATTTAAACAAAGGATATACATTTCTAATCCATATCAGGAACGTGTTCACAACGCCATGTCAATAGCCACAACGTTTGACCTTTGATCATTACAGGCACCACCAGATATTCTTTACACTCTTGAGTTGCAAACTGGCAGCATGCCATGCATATCATTACGTAAATATAATCCACTGCCGAGCAACACACTCGATCACAAACAAAGTCACGTTCCACAAAGAGATCGTAACGCTAAGACAGTCGTAAGTGTACGTTGAAACATGTTAGTTACGATCACCATAGTGATACGATTACTATGTGGACATGGGGCCCGTTTCACAAACCGATCGTAGCCCTAGGACCGTCGTAAGTGTACGTTGAAACATGTTAGTTACTTTGTGGACCAGATGTCTCCACGGGGCCACATGCAGCCTCCTAGTGTTACACACCAGCTTCCAGCTATACGAGGCATATGGCCGCTCTATCGGTTCAAATCAATAACACAATTTGCAATTACATTTACGGTTGCAACTGTTGCCTCCGAATGAAGACAATTTGTATGCAATTTAGGTATCTGAAATAAAAGCAATTGTCGCTGAGTAGCTGAAGATAATCCCTTGTCCTTACAGTTTACTTCTTAAACATATCCCTATGTTGAGACCGACTGATAACACAGGGCATTTACTGATTTTGTTGAAACGAAAAAAGGAGAGATGCCCATTTTAATTATGTCTGTTTACAAGTGAATACAATCAGCTGCTAATGAGAAAAGAAAAACGTTTAAGAAAAACATTCCTTTGGCAACAAAATGGGAAAGTTTAAAGTTTTCGACCCAAACGGTTCTATTGTAATTGACTTAACAAACATAATGGGCTACATGTGATATGATGAGATATCGATCCAATTCAAATAAGTGTACAGGATCAACAGAACAGACAGTTTCTATTTGGGGTAAAGGCCAAAACACCACTAAAAATGAAAAGCATATACCAGTGAAAATGACACCTGGGGTAAAATACACATCAAACCTTAATTTCATTGTTGGTTATAAATACACATCGACCATCACCTCTATTGTTGGTAATAAACCAAACAAGCCACACCTTAATCTGGACCTATTCTGAAGCTGGCTTGTGTGTGTCTGTCCGCAACCTTCATCTCCGTATAGGGAATTGGAGCCAACAGGAAATCCCTTCTATTCTTCTGGCCTCTATACCTCAGCATGGGCTTTGCTGGTTACCGGCAACACAGAAGCTATATAAGCTGCCATTGTTTGGGAAGATCAAACCATCTGACTATATTGAATGTCGTGATGACTAGACTGCCGATGATAGCTTGTCAACAGGAGTCATTACATGTTGTTAGAACAACCATCGGGGTTCTCCATTGTTGACGTAGG